CCTATGATAGAGCTGAGGTATTAGTATTAGTGGTGAGGACTTTTCTGTCCTTGAGGTCTGGGGAAAATGTTAAGATTTACTGATTCTTTGAGGGTGCTTAGCATGTGAAAACTGTGAAGCCCATTGGGAAAGGCTGTTCCTTTATGCTCATTTGTTTTCCTGGGAGAGTATCCTTGACCCTGCCTGTCTTGCTGGGCCAGATTGCTCCCAGTTCTTGTAGTTAGGAAAGATCTGGTTAGGGGAGAAACATGAATGCAAGGATCCTTCCTTCCTGTGTCACAGTAAGGAAGAATTTTCCACTTTGTACACAAACACGTCAACAGGCACTGCCATGACTTTTTGGTTCAACATGCCAAAGGCACAATTCATGAAAAAAATAATTTATAAGCTGGACTTCATTAAAATAAAAAATTTCTGTGAATGATGTCTGTTGACCTGGAGTGATATTTGTGACATTAGGTGAAGAAATCAAGTTGCAGAAGGCATATGTTTGATTTCTTTTGCATAGATGTTTATATGAGCATGGATTAAGATACGGAGGGATTCATAGGAAGTTACACTAACATTTTGAGTCTTTAATTTTTAGAGAGAAGTTTAATAAATATTTAAATATTTTTGAGACCTGAGTAACAGTGTGTGTAACCTGTAGTGTAATTTGACTTCTCAGTCTTGGCAGATGCTCAGGATTCTGGATGATGATAGATAAGAATATTCCTTAAACATTAGAGAATAGGTTTTTATTTTTTCAAAACCTAATTGGAATCTCCCAAGTAGTGATTAAGGACAATGGTTGTTTTTTCTACTCTTAACTACTTGAAGAGAGTAATGAAATTTAATAAAATATAAAACTGAATATTCTAATCAGTTTTTCAGTTTATTCTTTTATTCCTTTGGATCTTGTTTTAAAATTCTATACTTTTCCCCTTTCAATAGCTCCCTGTATTTACTTCCTAGATATGCCAGTTATTACCTGGTGAGAAGTATTTTGGAACAATGGGAAACTGTATTTTTAATGCAATTCTAACCCAAGAAATACTTTTGGGGATAGGAGTCACAGTAATTTTACATGAATCATTTATTTCCCAATATCTTTTCATTTCTTATTTAATTTTGTTGTTTCTAAAATCTTTCCTTTTTTCCTTTCCTTATGTTTGTCTTCTAAATGTAAAATGACTAATGGTAAGGCTTCCACCTATTTCCTTTTTCTTTTCATCTTTACTGAGGTATAACTGACAAATAAAAATTGTATATACTTAAAGTATAATACTTTATTTCATCCTTAGTTTTACTGATATAATTGACATATAACACTGTGTAAGTTTAAGGTGTACAACATATGATATATATGCATATGTTATAGATTTCTATAATAAGTTTAGTTAACATCCATCACCTCACACAGTTACAAATTTTCTTTTTTCCATGTGGTGAGAACTTTTAAAATCTGCTCTCTTAGCAATCAACTTGAAGTTTTGGTGTATGTTCCTGCTTCATCTCGTGAACCAGGCACTTGATGTTTGTTAGCTTACCTGTAAGATAAAATTTACCACCACTGATTTTCTGTTAAGTCCTATATTCCTACCTTTGTAGCTAAACCATCTTGAAAGTACATATATTCATTTTACTAATATTTGCATCATTTTGCTAAACATGGTGCTATTTTGATAGCTCATCCTTTTCCCCTTCCTTTTTTGGGAGTCCTTTAAGATTTTCGTGTGTGTTAGTCGCTCAGTCGTGTCTGACTCTTTGCGACCCCAAGGACTGTAGCCTGCCAGGCTCCTCTGTCCATGTGATTTTCCAAGCAAGAATACTGGAGTAGCTTGCCATTTCCTTCTCCAGAGGATCTTTCCAACCCATGAATTGAACCTGGGTCTCCCACGTTGCAGGCAGACTCGTTACCATCTGAGTCACCAGGGAAGATTTTCATATCTATATCTTAAAGGGAGGATTAACAATTGTTTTTAACTAGTCTGTTTTTTGGTGGTCTTTAGAGAATGTTCCATTTTCATAGTTGGTTTCCTATTGTATGACTTACTTGCTTTCAAAGAAACCTCTAGTGGGGATAAAAATGTTTTGACTGCAAGCTAGAAATTTTGGAGAAGATACAGGAAGGTTTCTATGAATTCATCTCTTCTGAATCCTTGGTTCAGAGGGATATACTCTTCAGTATGGAGTCAGCTGAGCTGATTGCTAAAGTCTGTCTGCTGTTTTTTTTTTTTTTTTTTTTTTTTTTTTAGTAGTTGCCTTGGCAGGGTCCCTGCTTCTTAGCAGAAATCCTAGAGAAACTGCATTTGTCAGAGCCTTCTAAATCCTCTAGCTAACTACCAACAAAGGTCTGTATAGTCAAGGCTATGGTTTTTCCAGTAGTCATGTATGGATGTGAGGGTTGGACTATAAAGAAAGCTGAGCACTGAAAAATTGAAGCTTTTGAACTGTGGTGTTGGAGAAGACTCTTGAGAGTCTGTTGGACTGCAGGGAGATCAAACCAGTCAATCCTAAAGGAAATCAACCCTGAGTATTCATTGGAAGAACTGATGCTGAAGCTGAAACTCCAGTACTTTGGTCACCTGATGCGAAGAACTGACTCATTTGAAAAGACCCTGATGCTGGGAAAGATTGAAGGCAGGGGGAGAAGGNATTATTAGTTTGAAAAACTTCCCTGGAAGACATCCAGTTAGTCCAAAAGAATTTTGTACTTTGAAATATAAACTCATATTTGGAAGAAACCATAAAGATAATCTATTCCAACCACTTAGCTGATTCCTTAGAATCTCCTCTGCAGCATTCCCACTGATTGATCATGCACTCTTTTCTTCTTTTTTAAAAAAACTTATTTTTAATCGGAGGATAATTGTTTTACAATATTGTGTTGGTTTCTTCCATATGACAATGTGAATCAACCATAAGTATACATTAAACTCTTGCTCAGACTCTTTTAGGTATCCTGCTTTTCCTTATTGCTGACATAAAAATTCATTACTTTGAATCTTCCATTCATTGGTCTTATTTCCTTGAGATTATACAAAATATTCTAATCCATGATGAACCTTCATATATTTGAAAATAATTCCCATTTTCTCCCTGTGTGTCCCTCTCCTACCACCTCGGGTGAGACTGTAGAACTTCCTGCTTACTTGAAATTATTTGAATTCCCTTATCATCATGGGCTTCCCAGGTGACACTAGTGGTAAAGAACCTGCCTACCATCGCAGGAGATATAAAGAGATGCAGGTTCGATCCATGGGTTGGGAAGATCCCCTGGAGGAGGACATGGCAACCCACTCCAGAATTCTTGCCTGGAGAATCCCATGGTCAGAGAAGCCTGGCAGGCTATAGTCCATAGGATCACAAAGAGTCAGACAGGACTGAAGCGACTTAGCATGCACACACACCATCATAGTCTTTCTCTTCTGAAGACACTCTACTTGATCCACACCCCATGACAGAACTGAGTGTAATATTCAGAATATGGGTTAACTAGCACAGAATAATAGTAGCATGAAAATAAAGTTCCTAAAATCCCAATCAGACTAAAACTGACTTTATTGTAAGGTATATCCTGTAGCTACTTAATTTGTCTCTGTATTCTGCCTACTTACATTCCTTCTCCTGGCTACCTCATTTTGTAAAGTGCTTTTTACAGGTTTAATCAGTCATCTTCAAAATAGCAACTTTAGTGGTCTATTTCTGTTCTTATTCTCCTTGGAGTTTCAGCTATCCTTTAATTATACTTTTTGAAATTCTCATCTTCCTTAATTATAATGTTCATTATATAGATCCTCTTTCTGTCTTCCCATACCTTAATTTTCTTCTTCAACATAGTACAAGTAACAAGGTTAGTTCTTAGAACTGTGCTTTTGCTAGCTCTGTACTTTCTCCTTTGGGAGGGTCATTTACTCTTAAGGCTTCAAATGTGACCTCTATTGGACTGGCTGCAGACCCCTCAAGTGACAAGTGTTATTGTTTGTCCTCTTAAACTCAATATATCTGTTATTCCCTTCCTGCTCCACAAATTAGCTCATTTGTTATTGTCTGCCACTGTGTTCCAGTAGTCATGGAGTCATCAATTATTTTTCTTTTCCTTACTCATATATAGTCAGTCTTTATGAAGTAGTGATTCTTTTTGAGAAAATGTCATATCTATCTCTTCTATTTATTCTCTATCACTTACTACTCCAAGTAACCCTTAACTAGTTTTACTACCTATGATGTTTCTCCTCTTCAGTCTATTCTGAGTATTGTTCTTTAAGTGAAACCTTATTTACTTTGAGCTACCAGGGAAGATCTGGGTTCGATCCCTGGGTCAGGAAGATCCCCTGGAGAAGGGAATGGCAACCCACTCTAGTATTCTTGCCTGGAGAATCCCATGGACAGAAGAGCCTACAGTCTGGCCTACAGTTGGACACAACTGAGCGACTAACACTTTCTAACATGACTAACACTTTATTTGCTTTACTCTCCTTCTCAAACACTCAAGAAGGCTTCAGTTACCTAATGAATAAAATATAAATTCTGGGTTTATTTTTAAAATCCCTTCAGAATCTTCTAACCCCCCTTTTCAAGATTATACCACCAAATGCTTATGAGCCTATTGCAACAATAAAATTTGCTACTTCCCCTGGAATGTAACATGGTAGTCTTTAATCCCTTTGGTTTTCTTCTACTTGTTCTACTTCACTCAGCATTTCATCTCTCTTTTTAGATACATCATATACTACTTCTTCCTTCCTCATGAGGGTATCCCCTTCATCTTCTCATCCAAAGAGGTTGCTAACTTGTATTATATTGTCCACATAAACTTCATTCTGATGCTTAGATTTTACTAAAAAAAACCTGTCACATGTATACATACTATGTAATTGTATATGCTACAAGCTACTTGATTTATAGGGACTCTTATTTTTCTATACACCCCTTATTGCTAGAACAGTGCCTTGCAAACAGATCCACCAGGGGGAATTACTGGTTGGTTGATTGATCAGGCTATCACAAAGATAAAATATTTGTCAAAGGAAATTATTTTAATTTTTAAAATAGAAATGTTTTATTTCAGAAAGTATCCAGTCTTTCTTGACTGAGTAAATCTAATAATCAACTTATAACAGAGTTGGGAGCTGAGGTTTGTTACTGAAGAGATCTAAAACTTGAAACTTCCGAATAGCAGAAACTCTGCAGATGTATAGTTTAAAAGCAATCTACTATGATATAGATAAGTTAATGGCTAGTATATAACTTGTATTTGGAGGACAGAAGTCATAATAATCAGTTGTCTTATGGGCCTTTTATTTGCCACTGCTCTTCCCTTTTGTTGTACTTTACAAGCAAAGGAAGCTTTACTTGGTTTTGCGCCTTTGTGAAGTTTCCACGTTTTTATCCTTGATTGTCAAGTTATTCTTTCCTTGAACTTTGTCCTTTTCTCCATGACCATTCTTGTTTTTGGCATCATTTTCTTCTTTATCTTTCCCTATATCTCTCTTTTCATTGTCCTGCTTTTCTTTGTCTTCTGAACTCTCCTTTTCTTGGGCCGTTTGTCCATTTGATATTCTGGTCTCAGTCTTCTTTACTTGGGACCCTTGTCCTATTGGTATTCTAGTTTCACTCTTCTTTACTTGGGACCCCTGTCCTATTGGTATTCTAGTTTCACTCTTCTTTACTAGGGACCTCTGTCCTATTGGTATTCTAGTTTCACTCTTCTTTACTTGGGACCCCTGTCCTTTTAGTATTCTGGTCTCTCTCTTCTTTACTTGGGACCCCTGCCCTATTGGTATTCTGGTCTCACTCTTCTTCACTTTGGGCCCCTGTCCTTTTGGTGTTTTGGCTTCACTTTCCTCTGTTTGGGCGTCCTGTCCTTGTGGTATTTCAGCTTTACTTTTCTCTACTTGGACTTCCTGTCCTTTTGGTATTTTGGCTTCACTTTTCTCTATTTGGGCATCCTTTCCTTGTGATGTTTCAGCTTTACTTTCCTCTATTTGGGCTTCCTGTCCTTGTAGTACTTTGGCCTCAGTCTTTTCCACTTGGACATCCTGTCTTTTTGGTATCTTGGCTTCACTTTTCTCTATTTGGGCATCCTTTCCTTGTGATGTTTCAGCTTTACTTTCCTCTACTTGGGCTTCCTGTCCTTGTGGTACTTTGGCCTCAGTCTTTCCTACTTGGGCGTCCTGTCCTTTTGGTATTTTGGCTTCACTTTTCTCTGCTTGGGTGTCCTGTCCTTGTGGTATTTCAACTTTACGTTCCTCTACTTGGGCTTCCTGTCCTTGTGGTACTTTGGCCTCACTCTTTTCTACTGGGGCATCCTGTCCTTGTGGTATTTCGGCTTCACTTTTCTTTATTTGGGCTTCCTGTCCTTGTAGTATTTTGACCTCACTCTCCTCTTTTTGGGCTTCCTGTCCTTTTGGTATTTTGACTTCACTTTTCTCTGCTTGGGCATCCTGTCCTTGTATTGTTTCGGCCTCATTCTTCTCTGCTTTGGCTTCCTGTCCTTGCGGTATTTCAGCTTCACTCTTCTCTACTACCTGGGCTGCTGCTTCTCTTGGCATTTTCAAGTCTCTCACTTTTTCTTGGGATTCTTGTCTTTTCCTTATCTCAGCGTTACTGTCCTTTTCCTTGACCCCCATTTCTATCTTACCTTTCTGCAACTCAACATCTTGGGAACTGCTTGATTCTTTTTTGTGCTCTGCTATCACAACTTCATCAGAATCTGTAAATGAGATTTTCTTCTGTAGTTCTTCCTTCTTTTTTTCTTGGCTACTCTGAAACTTTGTAGTGCTTCCACTTTTTAGAATCTGGGCTTTGGAATCTGATTTTTTAATAAGTTCTCCATCCATGTAACCTGGAAATATAACTGAGCACACAACAAAAGTGCATGATTCAGATATCAAGTAGTTTTGTTTTATTCCTACATAAAACTGACAAATGGAGATAACTTGTGGAGGTAACTTGAGATTTTCCTCAAAATATAAAATGGTGGAACTCTACACATAAAATTATATAAATATTGATAACTTTCCAGACTTCTTTCAATAAATCAAAAAATTAATGGAAGAAAAGGTAAAATGTTATCAAAATGAACTGGCATTTGTTCAGTATATTGTGTCTAATAATATTTGATAGCTAATGGAGGATATATTCCAAAAAGAAATAGAATTCAATTTTAGAAAAATTGTAGAAAGCAATGATTGTTTCTTAAAATAGAAAGAAGAAATGCAAAATATGCTTTCCCTATTGAATGAAAGCATATCTCATTAGTATGCAAAAGTAATGCTAGTGCTAGCTGATAATTATTGAGTGCTTACCATATACCAGGCAGTAATGTTCTGAGCACTTAGTATATATTAACTCATTTAATCCTCACAAAAACCATATAGGGTAGATACTATTACTATTCCTATTTTACAGATTAATAAACTAAGGTACAGAAAGTTTAAATGGGTGTGAATATGGTCATGAAGTTAGTAGGTGGTGGAGCTGGGATTTGAACCTGAGTAGTCAGACTTCAAAGGTCAGTTTTAGCCAATACCCTAGACATCTGCTAATGCACTATGCAAAAATTTCAAGTCTCTTTTTTCATGTATAGGTAAATCAACTCTGCTGTGTCTCAATTTTTGTGTGTTCTATAAACTTGAATTTGTTAGTTTTTGCCTTTTTTTCTTTTTGATGATTTGATTCCCTGGATTAAGAAAAAACAGTGTCTGTAGTACCAAGGAAAATTGTGTGGGTTCTTGCCATGAAGCAGAGGCATGCCTTGCTTTGAGCAAATTCAGTATTTAATATTTAATGGCATAGTCAAGGCTATGGTTTTTTCAGTAGTTATGTATGGATGTGAGAGTTGGACTATAAAGAAAGCTGAGTGCTGAAGAATTGATGCTTTTGAACTGTGGTGTTGGAGAAGACTCTTGAGGGTCCCCTGGACTGCAAGGAGATCCAACCAGTCCATTCTAAGGGAGATCAGTCCTGGCTGTTCAGTGGAAGGACTGATGTTTAAGCTGAACCTCCAGTACTTTGGCCACCTGATGCGAAGAGCTGACTCATTTGAAAAGACCCTGATGCTGGGAAAGATTGAGGGCAGGAGGAGAAGGGGACAACAGAGGATGAGATGGTTGGATGGCATCACCGACTCGATGGACGTGGGTTTGGGTGGACTCTAGGAGTTGGTGATGGACAGGGAGGCCTGGCGTGCTATGGTTCATGGGGTTGCAAAGAGTCGGACACGACTGAGTTACTGAACTGAACTGAACTCAATGGCATAGAAAGAATACTGAATTTAAGACTTAAAAACATCCTTGTTAGCTGGGTTTATTTGGGTAAATCAGTTAATCCCCAAAGACTTACTTTATTCATATTTAGTCTTTTATACCCACTTTGTTCAGCTGTTTAAGGATTCTAGACAGTGTTTATGGAGCATGACCTTTAGAGACAGACTGGTTTAAATCTGACTCCATACTTGACTAGCCGGGTGATCTTGGGGAAACTTCACTTTCTAATCTGTAAAATGAGAACAGGTACTTCACAGAAGTATAAGTAGCTACTTCACAGAAGTGTAAGGAGGATTAAATATCAATAATATCTAAGTTAAGCAGTCAGTTCAGTGCATGAAACATAGTATGTAGTGAGTAAATGTTGACTGTTATTACTGTCACATGAGACAGACACTTGTCTGTCTGTCTCTGTCTCTGATCTATCAAAACTCTCTCTGATCTATCAAGACATTCTTAGTTCCAACCAAATAATTTAGAGAAATGGTTAGTTGCATTACAGAAAGATTTACTGCTTAAAATTTAACTATTCAGTTTTTAAAATAGGAAGCTCTTTGGTACATTTAGGGTTTGATGTTTGAAAAATTAATATATACATAACTGAATTCTACTAGTTATAAATAAATGAGATACTTGAATTAGGTAAGAAGGTAACTCTGAATCAAATGGGATATTTTAATTCAGTGTTTTCTGTTTGGTACTTTAAAACTTTGACACCAAGATAAATATAACATTGAGCCCTGCAGTAATGCTTTCTGAGCCCTTTTGTATATTTTCTTCCCTAATACTGCTCAGCAAGATATTAATATGGATATTTTATTCTAGAAAAACCCATTTCCAACTTTCTAATGAAAATCAGTGGTAATATATCTTAAGCATTTCTGTATTGAGAAAATCCAGAATATTTTGATTTTGACAGCACTCCAGTGGACACTTTGTTTGGGGGTGTGGTGTGGTAAAGAGCATGCTTTTCTACTGAACCTTCTAATCTAAAATACCTCTTAGTTACTTCTAACAGTATCTTCATACCCTTGGTTATTTTAATATCTTTGCTATATATTTTCTACTTTAAAGTTAATTAACAGAAATAGATTTTCTAGGATTTATTTTTTAGAAAACCAGTTATCCCATAAAGTGAAATTTACCCTATTTCAACCTTGAATTATAGAAGTAAGCCATAGATCATTCTTTCATCAAATTCTAAGTTTGTCTCTCCCTTCTCCTAAATTTCTAGATAATACATAAATCTTTCCTTTCCCTTGAACCACATAATCTTCATATTATAAAAATTTGTAAGCCCTGGTTGAAAGTCCATTTATTGCAGGTAATAGCCTATACAACAAAATTATAGTACAATCAAAAGAGTTAAAATTTTAGTGATCCTTCTATTCAGGCTGACTAAAGACTTTAAATTGGATTAATTTTTACTAAAGCTAAGTGATATCATGAAACAACTGTCACATTAATAATTCTAATTCTGTGATAGTTAAATGAGGTAGAAAATAGATCTTGGGCTTTGTTGGATATTAATCTTATTAGGTTTTTAATTTAGTGATAGTCAGAGGGAGCACAATCAGATGTAAACTCTAAAAGATCTTTAAGTATTGGAGAGATGAATCATAGTTCTCAGGCTTTGGGTTAAATTTTGAAAGAGCATGTACTTATTAGTTGAAAGTGGAGGTGAGAAAATAAACTCAGCTTGAGAGGATGATGAAGTTTGATGGGCTGATCTGTCTTAAATCTTTCTTTGAACTATGAATTAAATCTTAACTTCTTTGCACTGAAAATATCATCTGGGAAGAATATGTTTGAAATATTGTCAATAAGAACATATCTTTCATCAGGAAATAATTTAAAAGATTAATCTGGTAATTAAGAAATAGTCATTAAAAATGAATCCCCCTGCAATCCTTCCCATAGCCCACTTTCTTTTTGTTAGGAAAACATACACAGTATTATCACCTTCCCTATGTGGGGAGGGCATTTGAGAGCTACAGACACCTCAGGACTAATCTGAATGTATGTTTCTTGTTCTGTGAATCAAAAGAAAATAATTGTCCCTTTCAATTTTGCCTCCTTCCCCCACCCACAAACCCACCCTCCTTCTAAGTGTGAACTGAGAAAGAACAGTAAGCCTTAAATATGATTAAATATAAAGACATATTTTAGTTTACCAGTGGTTAGAACATTTGAGAGACTTGAAATGTATCTCATGACATTTAAATATTGTTTCTTATGGTGACATTTTCCACAGTTTTAAGTTATTGTTCTGTTTTGTTTTATAAGATTTCATTGAAGAATTGAGCTCTTAGTTAAATAATGCTGATATAGACAAATCTGAATTTATAAAAGTTAAAAGCATAATCAATTTAAATGAGATGTCTTCTATTTTTTAAAGGATTCTTTACACATTTAATTATATAGCTTTTCTAGTAGGTATATGTTTGTGTTTAAAAGTATCTGATTTGTAGATAAGGTTTCAGGTCTAATTACAAAAAAGGCATTGGTGGTTCAGTATAGGAGGCAATGTGTTGATGTGGAAAAGATGTGTACTTGAGAGACAAGACGTCCTGGTTTTAGATCCTGACATTGCTGTTTACAAATTCTTTTAACTTGGGCATGTCTGAACCACTTTCCTGATCTGTAAAGTGGGGGATAATAATAGTTGCCTGGCAGGACTATAGTAGAAATAAGACATACTGTTTTTGAAAATGCCTAGCATACACACACATGCACGCTAAGTTGCTTCAGTCACGTCTGACTCTGTAGACCCTGTATGGACTATATGGACTGCAGCCTGTCAGGCTCCCCTGTCCATGGGATTCTCCAGGCAAGAATACTGGAGTGGGTTTCCATTTCCTTCTCCAGTGCATAGCACAGTGCACAGTATATAAGAGGTGCCCAGTACCTACTATATCTCTCAAAGGTAAAGTTATTTAGAAGGCAACAGGAAGTCCATAAAATTTTGTTTTTAAGTTTTCTTTTTCTTATCAATGTGATTCAGTTGAACTTCATTTATAACTAAAATAGAGTTCTAAATTACCAGCAAAGAGCTAACAGAATTAAAAAATCAATCTTTCCATAAAACCTGGGAGTCAGTAAGGAGATTCTTTTTCAGAGCCTAGAAGATGGCCAGATACTATAGCACCCTTTTTAAAATCTTAGATTTTTTTTTCTATTTTCTTAGTCCATTATTATTATTTTTTTTTGAAATGAGAGTTAGAGGGCAGAGAAAATAGTCTGTCTTGTCTTTAGGAACATAGTATAAAAAATAGTAAAGTATTGTTTCAAAAATTGGTGTCATATATCTATGACATATGTTGGAGAAGACTCTTGAGAGTTCCTTGGACTGCAAGGATATCAAACCAGTCAGTCCTAAAGGAAATCAATCCTGAATATTCATTGGAAGGACTGATGCTGAAGCTGAAGCTTCAATACTTTGGCCACCTGATGCGAAGAGCTGACTCATTAGAAAAGACCCTAATGCTGGGAAAGATTGAAGGCATTAGGAGAAGGGGACGACAGAGGACGAGATAGTTGGATGGCATCACTGACTCAATGGACATGAGTTTGAGCAAACTCCAGGCGTTGGTGATGGACTGGGAAGCCTGGCATGCTGCAGTCCATGGGGCCTCAAATAGTCAGACACGACTGAGCAACTGAACTGTACTGATATATGACATAAAGCAAAATTTGTCTCCAGTGTATTTTCCAGTGGTATTGATGAATAGCAATACCTACAACTTAGTAATCTATCACACTCTTTTGTGTAAACTTATCTCCTCTACAGCAACCTCTCCAAAAATAGTTGCTGAAAGTGTTGGAAAACTCTGGAGAATAGGGACATTTAAAATGACCTTAGAAGCACAAGACTATTTGGGGAGTAAAAACAATCAGGCCAGACAATAACTATAAATAATGTAAAATATCAGAGTTGTGAATAGATAATGAACTTACCCATAGGAGATAGTGCTAAAAATGAAACACAAAAGGAAGTCAGTAGGAATTTTGTAACTCAAGAAGAACCCAATTCTCAATGATACCCTTTGTTGGTTGTTGTTCATGTCCGACTCTTTGTGACCCCATGGATGTTAGCATGCCAGGCTTCCCTGTCCTTCACTATCTTTGTTGGTGAATCCAGAAATAGGACTTCCAGGGAGCATAAAGCCCTCTGTTTCTTACTCAGGAATCCTGGTGGCCAAAACTCCATATGCTACTCCATAGAGAAGTAACATTATGCAAACATTAGTAAGCCATTTAGTGGATTTGAATCTGTGGGTAAGTAATATTCTACCAAAATTCAAACAGTTTCCCACCTTTCATTATTCTCTCACAAGTCAGATTTTTACCCACTCTACTTCAGTTTGAAAAATACATATTATTAGTCAGTTATCAAAATCACCATCTTTTTCTGACATCTATCATTATTTCAATCCTAGGGTTTTGTTTTGGGTTGTTTTTTTTTTTTTAAGTAAAAATTATTTATTGCCAGATTTCAGCACAAAGAAAATGGAGTCTTTTGTGATAGACTAGCTGGTAATATACACTGCCAATAATGTTTGGTAGTAAATAATCAGGACCAACTATAAAATGGTTATATTTGGTGACAAAGAAAAAATAGAGAAAAGGAAATAAAAATAAGAGAAAATCACTTATTTAAGAAATACTGATTAAGGTAGAAGAACTTGGAATACAAAAATATCTGGGAACAAAAACTCAAGGTATCTAGACATAGAAATGGGTAAGGCAAGGAAATGATCCAAACTTACTGACTTTTCCAGAACTGTCCACTGAAAGAGACAAAGATAAACACAGCAATAGGTATTTGGTTTCCCTTCTTCAACCCTCAATCCTCTGCACTGGTTGCAATCTGTGTCATGAACAATTAAGTTCTATTTATTTGAATATGGAGAACCTTCCTTTCCCTTCCTCCTTCTCTTGGTCTGTTGTGATTAGCTACTTTATTTAAAGATGTTTTAATGAATATATATATAATTGACATACAATATTTTGCAAATTTGAAATATACATGTTAATTTGATATATTTTATATATTATAATATGACAGTCTTTGCAGGATCATTAGCAACTCTGTCACACTACATAATGATCCTTTCTTTTTAGTGGTTGGAATTCTTATGTTGTAGTCTCTTAGCAAGTTTGACAGTTATAGGTTTGTTGTCTATATTCACTACACTGTGTATCAGATCTCCAGATCTTATTTACTACTTGTTGCAAGTTTGTATCCTTAAGCATCTCTCCTATACCTGCACCCCCAATTCCCTGGTAACAACCATTTTACTTCTGTGTTTTACTAGTTTGACTTTTTTAGATTCCACATATAGAGTACATGTAGTACTTTACTTCCTCTGTCTCTCACTTATCCACTTAGCATAATATACTCATGGTCCATCCATATTGTTGCAAATGGTGATATGTGTTTTCTCATGACTGTGAATAATATTTCACTGTATACATACAGTCATACCTCAGTATTTGTGGGAGATATTTTTATTCTCTGCACCCCATGCCCAAATCCATGGAGCTCAAGTTTCTTATTATAGAATGGTGTCATATTTGCATATAACCTATGAACATACTCCTGTATACTTAAATCATCTCTAGATTTATTATAGTACCTAACACAGTGTAAATGCTGTGTAAGTAGTTGTTTGCATGTGGCAAATTCAAGTTTTGCTTTTTAGAAGTTTCTGGCATTTTTATTCGCAAATGTTTTCTATACATGGTTGGTTGAATATGTAGGTGCTGCACCCATGGATACAGAGGAATAATTGTATGCCACATCTTTATTCATTCATCCATTGATGGGCACTTGGGTTGTTTCCATATCTTGGCTATTATGACAGTCTTTGCAGGATCATTAGCAACTCTGTCACACTACATAATGATCCTTTCTTTTTAGTGGTTGGAATTCTTATGTTGTAGTCTCTTAGCAAGTTTGACAGTTATAGGTTTGTTGTCTATATTCACTACACTGTGTATCAGATCTCCAGATCTTATTTACTACTTGTTGCAAGTTTGTATCCTTAAGCGTCTCTCCTATACCTGCACCCCCAATTCCCTGGTAACAACCATTTTACTTCTGTGTTTTACTAGTTTGACTTTTTTAGATTCCACATATAGAGTACATGTAGTACTTTACTTCCTCTGTCTCTCACTTATCCACTTAGCATAATATACTCATGGTCCATCCATATTGTTGCAAATGGTGATATGTGTTTTCTCATGACTGTGAATAATATTTCACTGTATACATAAAGTCATACCTCAGTATTTGTGGGAGATATTTTTATTCTTTGCACCCCATGCCCAAATCCATGGAGCTCAAGTTTCTTATTATAGAATGGTGTCATATTTGCATATAACCTATGAACATACTCCTGTATACTTAAATCATCTCTAGATTTATTATAGTACCTAACACAGTGTAAATGCTGTGTAAGTAGTTGTTTGCATGTGGCAAATTCAAGTTTTGCTTTTTAGAAGTTTCTGGCATTTTTATTCGCAAATGTTTTCTATACATGGTTGGTTGAATATGTAGGTGCTGCACCCATGGATACAGAGGAATAATTGTATGCCACATCTTTATTCATTCATCCATTGATGGGCACTTGGGTTGTTTCCATATCTTGGCTATTGTGAATATGATGCAATAAACACTGGAATGTGTATATCTCGTTGATATCCTATCTCATTTCCTTTGGGTATATAGCAGAAGAGGCATTGCTGGATAATTTGGTAGATCCACTTTTACTTTTTTAAGGAATCTCTTTATTGTTTTCCATAGTTATTGAACTAATTTACATTCCCATCAATGGTGTACAAGGGTTCCCTTTTCTCTGCATCCTTGTTACACTTGTTATCTCACACTCTTGAGTACAGCCATTCTACCTGGTGTGAGGTGATACACCATTTGCTGAAGAGACTATCTTTTTCCCATTGGGTGTGCTTCACTTCCTTGTTGAATATTAATTGACTGTATATGTGAAGGCTTAATTCTGAGCTATTTGGTTACATTGATTTATTTTTATGCCAGTACCATACTGTTTTAATTACTATAGTTTTGTAATATAGTTTGAGATGAGGAAATGTGACATATCTAGTTTTGTTTTTTTCCCTTCAGGATTTGAGTTCTTTGTGATTCCATACAAATTTTAAGACTTTTTTTTAATCTTCTATTTCTGTGTTGAATATGAAGAATACCATTTTAATGGGGATTATTTTGAAACTATAGATGGCTTTGGGTAGTGTGAACATTTTTACCGTTTTTGTTTTTTTTGTTCCCGGACCTTTGGGGTTGGTTTCCATTGTTTCTTCTTTGATTTCTTTTAGCAAAGTATTAATAGTTTCTGTTGTACAGATATTTCCCTTCCTTGGTTAAATTTGTTCCTAGATATTTTATTGACTTGGACATGATTGTGAATGGGGAAGTTGTCTTTATTACTTTTTCAGTTGTTTCATTATTAGTGTGTAGAAGTGCAATTGATTCCCAAATGTTGATTTTGTATCGGAAAAGTGAAAGTGAAAGTGAAGTTGTTCAGTCGTGTCTGACTCTTTGTGACCCCATAAACTGTAGCCTACCAGGCTCCTCCGTCTATGGGATTTTCCAGGCAAGAGTACTAGAGTGGTTGCCATTTCCTTCTCCAGAGGATCTTCCCGACCCAGGGGTCAAACCTGGGTCTCCCACATTGTAGGCAGATGCTTTACCATCTGAGCCACCAGGGAAGCCTTTGTGTTGGAAGCCTTACTGAAATTGTTGACTAGTTCTAAAAGTTTTTTGGTTGCATCTTTGATATTTTCTATATATAAAATCATACCAGCTATAAATAGTGACAGTTTTACCTCTTTCCTGATTTGGAATTCTTCTATTTGTTTTTATCCTATCCTATGACCTGTCCCTGAGAGAGTTCCAACTGCACTTGAGAAGATTGTATATTTTGTTGCCGTTGGATGGAATGTTCTATATATGTCTGTTAAGTTCATTTGGTCTAGCTTATAATTCAATTCCAGCACTTCTCTGTTGATTTTCTCTTTTTATGATCTATCTATTGCTGATAGTGGGATATTGAAGTCTCCTGCTGTTATTGTATTGTTATTTATTTCTCCCTTCAATATTATAACTGACAATATATTTAGGTGCGCCAATGTTGGGTGCATATATATTTACAATTGTTACATTTTCTTTATGTAGTGACCCTTTCCTTATTATGTAATGACTTGAGGGGAGGAGCCAAGATGGCGGAGGAATAGGACGGAGAGACCACTTTCTCTCCTACAAATTCATCGAAAGAACATTTGAATGCTGAGCAAATTTCACAAAACAACTTCTGATCGCTAGCAGAGGACATCAGGCGCCCAGAAAAGCAGCCCATTGTCTTCGAAGGGAGGTAGGACAAAATATAAACGATAATAAGGGAGTCAAAAGAGCTACGGATGGAGACCCGTCCCGGGAAGGGAGTCTTAATAGAGGAAGTTTCCAATCACCAGGAAACCCTCTCACTGGCGGGACTGGGGGAAGTTTTCGGCAATCTAACTGGGAGGAAAAATTAAACAAGGCCCACAGATTACGTGCCTAAAAGCAACTCCCAGCAGAAAAGTACCCCAGACGCCCGTACCCGCCAGCAACAAGCGGGGGCGGAACGNGATATGCAGATGACACCACCCTTATGGCAGAAATTGGAGAGGAGCTAAAAAGCCTCTTGATGAAACTGAAAGAGCAGAGTGCAAAAGTTGGCCTAAAGCTTAACATGCAGAAAACTAAGATCATGGCATCTGGTCCCATTACCCCATGGTAAATAGATAGGCAGACAGTGGAAACAGTGTCAGACTTTATTTTTTGGGGCTCCAAAATCTCTGCAGATGGTGACTGCAGCCATGAAATTAAAAGATGCTTGCTCCTTGGAAGAAAAGTTATGACCAACCTAGACAGCTTATTAAAAAGCAGAGACATTGCTTTTCCAACAAAGGTCCATCTAGTCAAAGCTATGGTTTTTCCAGTAGCCAGGTATGGATGTGAGAGTTGGACTATAAAGAAAGCTGCTGCTGCTGCTGCTGCTAAGTCACTTCAGTCGTGTCCAACTCTGTGCAACCCCATAGACAGCAGCCCACCAGGCTGCCCTGTCCCTGGGATTCTCCAAGCAAGAACACTGGAGTGGGCTGCCATTTCCTTCTCCAAAGCATGAAAGTGAAAAGTGAAAGTGAAGTCTCTCAGTCGTGTCTTACTCTTAGTGACCCCATGGACTGCAGCCTACCAGGCTCTTCCATCCATGGGATTTTCCAGGCAAGAGTACTGGAGTGGGTTGCCACTTCCTTCTCCAAAGAAAGCTGAGTGCCGAGGAATTGATGCTTTTGAACTGTGGTGTTGGAGAAGACTCTTGAGAGTCCTTTGGACTGCAAGGAGATCCAACCAGTCTTTCCTAAAGGAAATCAGTTCTGAATATTCATTGGAAGGACTGCTGTTTAAGCTGAACCTCCAATACTTAGGCCACCTGATGCGAAGAACTGACTGATTTGAAAAGACCCTGATGCTGGGAAAGATTGAAGGCAGGAAGAGAAGGCGATGACAGAGGATGAGATAGTTGGATGGCATCACCGACTCAATGGACATGAGTTTGAGTAAACTCTGGGAGTTGGTTATGGACAGGGAAGCCTGGCGTGCTGCAGTCCATGGGGTTGCAAAGAGTCAAAAATGACTGAGTGACTGAAATGACTGAACTGAAGTATGTCCACTTCTGCTTTCTTTTTGTTTCCACTTACATGAAGTATATTA